CACACAGCTCTGGTGACCAGAGTGGGGTGTGCTAGTGGGACTCATAGGATATCTTCTACAAATGGCCACTTATGCAAGGTCGGAAAATATAACCAACCTACTAGATATATAAAAATAAAAACAGCAAATTAGGTAAAACGAGGTGACAAAGAAACAAATTCCAAACAAAGGGACAAGACAAAACCCCAGAAGAACTAAGTGAAGTGGAGATAGGCAATCTACCAATAACGAGTTCAAAGTAATGATTGTAAAGCCATTCAAAGAATTTGGGGGGAGATTGGATGAACAGAGTGAGAAGTCAGAAGTTTTTTAACAGAGTTAGAAAACATAAAGAACAAAACAGAGGTGAAGAATACAATAATTAAAACGAAAAATCACTAGAAGGAATCAACAGTACTGAACAGATCAAGGAGCTGGAAGACAAGAGTAATGGAAGTCACTGAAGCTCAGCATAAAAATAAAAATGAATAAAAAGCAATGAGGACAGCTTAAGACAGCTGGAACAATATCAAACATACTAACATTCACATTAAAGGGGTCCCAGAAAGAGAAGAGAGAGACAAAGGGACTGAGAACATATTTGAAGATATAATAGCTAAAACTTCCCTGATCTGGAAGACAGGGAAACAGACATCCAGGTCCAGAAAGCACAGAGAATCCCAAACAGGAACCCAAAGAGGACCACACCAAGATATGCTATAATAAAAATGGCAGAAATTATAGATAAAGAGAGACTATTAGTAGCAACAAGGGAAAAGCAACAAGTTTTGTACAAAGGAACTTCTGTAAAGTTATCATCTCCCTTTTCAGCAGAAACTCCTCAGGCTAGATATATTTAAAGTAATGAAAGGGAAAAACCTACAACCAAGAATACTCTACCCAGTAAGGTCTGAATTCAGGTTTGATGGAGAGATCATAAGTTTTACGCACAAACAAAAGCTAAAAGAGGTCAGCACCACTAAACAAGCTGTACAATAAATGCTAAAGGAACTTGTCAAGGTGGAAAAGAAAAGGCCACAATTAGAAACATGAAAATTACAAAAGGAAAAATCTCATTGATAAAGGCAAAAATACAGTAAAAGTAGTAAATCAACTATGTATAATGTTAATAGGAAGATTGAAAGATAAAAGCAAGAAAATCATCTATATTTGCAAAAATTAGTTAAGGGGTATACAAAACAAAAAGATGTAAAATATGATATCAAAACAGTAAATGTGGAAGGAGGGGGGCAAAAATGCAGGGTTATTAAAATGTCTATATGAAATGACATGTTTACTAAACTTGTGGTCATCATTTCTAGGGGAGGTGGGTTTTTGAACTAAGTAGAAAAGGACAAAGTGTGCTAGGTAGGGGGAGAATCTGCATGGGAAATGGGCACATGGACATGGTGCATGAAATCACTCCTCCAGCTGGATGGCTGTTAATCAACTTGAAAACAATTGTGGGACTGCACTGCTTTCTCTATTCAACTAACTCTCCTGGGGAAACAGTGAGGAGCCTTCATAAACATCTCTACCTCTATAGGGAACGCTTTAGAGATGGCTATCCCCACCTTAAATAACATCCTCATCACTTATCCACTATGCATATGAACAACGGCTATTTCTTTGGGAAAACTAAACACACTTCTTGCATCACCCAGGGATTCAAATGCTCTTTCTCATGAGGTTTGACTCTTGTTCTAAGAGCTCGTGAAAACACTGCTGCCATTAGCTGTACCTTGCACCTCTGGGAATAACTCTAATGTACAGAGCACTGTATGAGTGGACCCAAGGTTTTTAGTAACTGTAACTTAGTAAAGTCTTTAATAACTGTGACTATGAATATCTTGGCTTCCTTTCAGATTGGAATCTAAAGATAAGACAATTAAAGACAATTAAAATCCTACCCCATGAATATGCTGCTGCTGCTAAGTCGCTTCAGTCATGTCCGACTCTGTGCAACCCCATAGATGGCAGCCCACCAGGCTCCCCCATCCCTGAGATTCTCCAGGCAAGAACACTGGAGTGGGTTGCCATTTCCTTCTCAAATGCATGAAAGTGAAAAGTGAAAGTGAAGTCGCTCAGTCGTGTCTTGACTCTTCGTGATCCCATGGACTGCAGCCTACCAGGCTCCTCTGTCCATGGGATTTTCCAGGCAAGAGTACTGGAGTGGGGTGCCATTTCCTTCTCCACCCTGATTGTGAGGTTTATACATAGTTAGAGCTGGACATGGAACAACAGACTGGTTCGAAATTGGGAAAGGAATATGTCAAGGCTGCATATTGTCACCTTGCTTATTTAACTTATGTACAGAGCACATCATGCAAAACACCAGGCTGAATGAAGCACAAGCTGGAATCAAGATTGCAGGGAGAAACATCAATAACCTCAGATAGGCAGATGACACCACCCTTATTGAAGAAAGCGAAGAAAAACTAAAGAGCCTCTTGATGAAAGAGGAGAGTGAAAAAGCTAGCTTAAAACTTCAACAGACCGAAAACGAAGATCATGGCATCTGGTCCCATCACTTCATGGCAAATAGATGGGGAAACAGTGGAAACAATGGCTGACTTTATTTTTCTGGGCTCCAAAATCATTGCAGATGGTGATTGCAGCCATGAAATTAAAAGACGCTTGCTCCTTGGAAGAAAAGCTATGGCCAACCTAGACAGCATATTGAAAAGCAGAGACATTACTTTATCAACAAAGGTCCATCTAGTCAAGGCTATGGTTTTTCCAGTAGTCATGTATGGATGTGAGAGTTGGACTGTGAAGAAAGCTGAGCGCCGAAGAATTGATGCTTTTGAACTGTGGTGTTGGAGAAGACTCTTGAGAGTCCCTTGGACTGCAAGATCAAACCAGTCCATGCTAAAGGAAATCAGTCCTGAACATTCATTGGAAGGACTGATGCTGAAGCTGAAACTCCAATACTTTGGCCACCTGATGTGAAGAACCGACTCATTGGAAAAGCCCCTGATGCTGGGAAAGATTGAGGGCAGGAGGACAAGGGGAAGACAGAGGAGGAGATGGTTGGATGGCATCACCAAAGCAATAGACATGAGTTTGAGTAGGCTCCTGGAGTTGGTGATGGACAGGGAGGCCTGGCATGCTGCAGTCCATGGGGTCACAAAAAGTCAGACATGACTGAGCAACTGAACATTTGTAAAAAATATAATATACCATACTTGACATTGATCAAGTACTCTGTCAACTCTTGGCTTAGAGGTGAAGAAACTGGTGAGGGCCAGAGAAAAATAATGACTACAATTAAATGTTTGGAAAATGGGATCCAGGACAAAAGCTATACAGGTAAATTTGAGGAAATCTGATGACTCCTGGATGCCTTCCTTTATTTTCTAATTTTTTTTAGCTTTGAGGGAAACCCAAGTATATCAGAAAATGCTTATCATCAAACTATTATCAAAATGTAAGTGTGTGTACAAGTCCAGAGGGATTTTTGAACCCAATTCAAAATAACAGGATGCTCTATAGAGATCCTTTCTAAGGAGGATACACTCCCCTCCACTTTCCCACAATTCATTCATTCTTTCAGTAAACACTGAATGCCTACCATGTGACAGGCAATGTTCTAGGTATAGATACAAACCTCTGCCCTCTTGGAACTTACATTTCTGGGCAAAGAGAGATAGTAAACAAAAGAAACATAATAAATAGGTAAATTATAGTGTATCTTAGAAGGTGACATGAAAAAGCAGTCGAAGGGCCTCAGGAATGGGAAGAATGCAAATTTAAAAGCGTGGCCAGCATAGGCCTCTAATAGCAAGTGAGGTGAGTAAATTGAGTAGCTAAAATGTAGAATTCTGACAACGTTAAGGGGAAAGCATGGTGATCATCATACTTTGCATTTACCCTGTGATATGCAGTTTACAACGTTGCGCCAGCCAGTCAGGTGGCACGGGAGGAGTTTGATGGGAGTTTAGGAAAAGGAATGAATTATATTAAGTTTTAAGTGCCACATGATAGAAATAAATGATCAGCAAGGAGTTGGAAATGCAAAGTCTGGAGCTCAGGAGAGACATTTGAGTTACAGCTGTCGATTTGGAATCACTAATACCAACAATGGCTGAAAGCACTGGGGAGTAATAGGTGAGCTGGCCACAGAATAGAATGCAAACAGGTTAATGTAAAATGTCTACATTTTAGGGGATGAAGTCAAAGATAAAAATCGAGAGAGTATATTTTATTCCGATCAGAGAGACAGAGAGATGAGCCAGTATTGTTATCATCCTTTTATTCCTCCCTTTTTATTTCAACCTAATGTGAAATGTGGGCTTCCCTGGTGGCTCAGACGGTAGAGAATCCGCCTGCAATGCGGGAGACTTGGGTTCTATCCTTGGGTCGGGAAGATCCCCTGGAGGAGGGCATGACAACCCACTCCAGTATCCTTGCCTGGAGAATCCCCATGGACAGAGGATTGAGCTTTCTTGGTGGCTCAGACCGTAAATAACCTGCCTGCAATGGGAGAGACCTGGGTTCAATCCCTGGGTCGGGAAGATACCCCAGAAAAGGGCAAGGCAACCCACTCCAGTATTCTTACCTGGAGAATCCCCACGGACAGAGGAGCCTGGCGGGCTACAGTCCATGGGGTTGCAAAGAGTCGGACACGACTGAGCGACACACAATGTGAAATGGTCCCCTTAGTGACAAAACACTCCCGTGGCGCTACACCCCTTTGGGCGCGAATCTTTCACATAGACCACTTACAAGTAAAGAGAAGGGGACTAACTTTTACTGAGTGTACCCCGCTTGCCACGTGTTCAGGGCCTCCAAATCCCGGGTGGTTTTCCTCTACACCCCCACTAGCTCCCTCGCTTTCACACTAGTGCCTCCTTTCGTAGTGCCAGTTCCCAGTACGCTGAAGTACAGGGAAGGTCAACAGAAAACAAAGAGCACAGCTTGAAGGAAAAGCAGAACAAACAAAAATCCCCGGCTAAAACATAAGGATCCAGCACCGACCGCCTCTAACTACCTCCTGCAGAGCCCACGGTCCCTCTGCCCTACCCGGAACTCTCCATAGGCCCCGCCCCCGCCTCTCCGCAGGCCACGCCCCCTGCCCCGCGGCCCGCGCTCATTTGCCGGCACCTTCGTCGCCACTTCCCCATTGATCCGCCTGCGCTTCTTCTTCTACGCTCTCCACGCAGCCCCGCCTCTCCTAGAGCGGCAGTGCGGCGCAGGCCCGGCTTTTCGGCATTCCCGGACCTTTTTCCTTGTCTTTTTCCCCTTCTTCCCAGCATTCCCGTTTCCGCTTTCTCACGGCTCTTCTGTTTTTCCACCTCTGAGGCGCTTCGCGCCCAGGGGTTCAGTGACGTCATCTTTCTGCGCTGCGCGGACACCCGCCGGTGGAGGAAGGAACGGCTCTGCCGCCCTTCGCTGCTTTTGTTGGGCTGCTCTTTCGGAGTCATGGCGCCATCGCTATGGAAGGGGCTGGTGGGCATCGGCCTCTTTGCCCTAGCCCACGCGGCCTTTTCCGCTGCGCAGCGTAAGTGCCTGGGGGACGGGGACAGCTCCCATGCGGGACTCTGCGGGCGGCGTGTGGGCTCACCCAAGAAGGAGTGTCGGACCGAGTGGCACAGGAACGGTCATTTGAGACCTTTGAGGTGACTGTGAGAAGCGGTGCGGGGCTCTTCGGTGGAAGGCTTGGAGTCTGAGTTTGAGGAGAGTGGGGCAACTGGCATTACAGCAGGGAAGGGGATGTTGGGGAGAGGGGATCGGTGGGCTGCGGGGTGGGCAGAAAGGGAGCCTTTCCGGGAATCTGGGACAAGTGTTGTCAGATCCATCGTGGGGCTGGCAGAGTGTCAGATTGAGGACCTCGGATGCTCATGGTTCCATGACAACTAGGTGGACAGTGTCTTGGGCACTCCTGGGTTTTCCAGGAGGACTGAGAAGTTAGGTGACCACTTGCCTCTGGGAGGCACTGTGATATGGGGCAAAGAGCACCGGGCTGGGAGACTGGAGGGCTGGTTCTCAAAAACTTGCTTTACCGCTAAATCTGTGACCTTGGGCATATCATATCCCTTCTCTGATGCTTCACTGAGGTGGATTTTAATTCTTTCCCTTTCTATGTCAAAGAGTGATTGGGAAGTTTAAGAAAAAAGCAAAGTAAAAGTACTTTATCATACACATACAATTGTATTGTCAAGAAGAAACTTGAGTCCAGCAGAGGATACAGTGCAGTGAGACGGCTGATCTGTTTTGAGGTCTTCCTTCTCCCCTAGACCAAGGGTTAGCAAACTCTAGCATGTGGGCCAAATGCAGCCTCCCTCTTGTTTTTGCAGTGAGCTAAGAATGTTTTTAGAGTTTTACTTTGTTGGGGCGGGGGGAAGCAAAAGAATATCATTTTATGATCCATGACAGTTATTTAAAATCCAAGTTTCAGTGTCCATATGAAGTTTTATTGGCACAGTCATGCCGGTTTAGGTATTTTCTGGCTGCTTTCTAAGGGCAAGTTTGAATAGTTGCAATGGAGATAGTAAAGCCTGCAAAGGCTAAAATATTTATTATCTGGCCCTTTACAGGAAAAGTTTGCTGATCTCTTTTGTAACCTATAGAGCCCACAAGGGCAGGGACGATGTATATTTTGTTCACTGCTGTAATCTCAGTGCCCAGCATAATGTTCCCTACAGTAGTTACTCAATAAATTTGTGGAACGAAGGGAGGAAATTCAGAGTTGAACTTTTTTCCTCTATTTGCTAGATTACTTTCCATCTTCAGGAATAAAGTGGAAAATGAAATGTGAATTCCTTCAAAGCTCCAGTTTTCAAGATAAAACCTTTTGTTCTATGTATTATGTATATGGTAATTAAAATGATCCAATTATTAAAATTACTTTTTTAGATACATGTATTATGACATTTGTCTTGACAGAAATTCAGCTTTAATTTTTTAAAAATTTATTTTGAAATTTTAGATTTACAGAAAAAATTTACAAAGATAGTGCAAATAGTTACTGTATTCTCCTCACCCAGTTTCCCTCACTGGTAACATCTAACATTACTATGGTATGATATCACAACTAGGAAACTGACATTGGTATATTACTATTAAGTACAGTCTAGCTTTTATTTGGATTTCACCAGTTTTCCCATTAATGTCTTCTTTCTATTCCAAGAATCAATCCAGGATATCACATTACATTTAGTCCTCATGTTTTCCCAGGCTGCTTTCTCTGTGACAGTTTCTGCAAAACTCCAGTCTTTAATGATAACAATAATAATAGCTTACTGTGTGCCAGGCACTGAACTAAGCACTTTATGTGTATTATGTAATTCAATCCTTCCAAAATCTCTGTGAGGTGGATGTTATTATCACCTTTGAAAGATGAAGAAATTGAGCCAGGCTGCTAGGAAACTTGCACAAAATTACAAAGAAGACAAATGGCGGCGCTGGGCTTCAAATACAAGCAGTTTGATTCTGGAGCCTGTGTGCTACATTGCTTGGTAAAATTCAGTCTTGAGTAATTGGTTGAAATTGCGATGTGCTTAGGTGCTAGAGGGTGCAGTGATGTCCCGAGGGAGTTCAGAGTCAAATGGAGAAACAAGTGATGCAAGCAGCAGTCACCATAAAGTGATATAGATGCTAAAAGTAAAGATACACGGAAATGGGAGCAGTTGTTTTTTGGAGGTGGGGGAAGGGGTTAAGAGGTACCTAGAGCCTTGCTGATCAAGTATGGTCAATAGACCAACATCTCGGAAATCATCTGGGACCTTGTCAGAAATGCAGAAACTCAGGCCCCACCTCAGATCTGTGGAATCTGAATCTGCATTTTAATGAGGTCCTCAGGTGATTGTATGCACATTTATTTGAGAAGTGCTGCCCTAGAGGAGATTAGGGTACAGTGGTACTGTGTCATTTTCTACTATAGACTTCAGCTGTAAAATGTTACAGTCCTAGAGCAAGGAGACAGATGACAGAAGTCCAACCCTTTCGTTTTACAGACGAGGAAATGTCCTACTAAGGTAGGGTTAGAGTCAGGTTAGGCTTCAGGCACAGAAAGGTAGCTGGGAATTGGACAGTAGGAAGTTAGCCAAAACCTACTTTGGCATTGGTTTAATTTTTCTTTTACACCTGTCCTTGTGATGAAACTTGTGAGATAAAACTTCAGAAATGTCTCTAAACACATTCTCTCTTAAGAGTCAGTGAGTGCATGCTCACTCACAATTTGAGTTTTTAAGCATGTTATATTAAGTAGAGGGCTTCCTTGGTGGCTCAGTTGGTAAAGAATCCACCTGCAATGCGGGAGACCTGGCTTCGATCCCTGGGTTGGGAAGGTCCCCTGGAGGAGGGCATGGCAACGCACTCCAGTATTCTTGCCTGGAGAATCCCTAAGGACAGAGGAGCCTGGCAGGCTGTAGTCCATGGGGTCGCAAAGAGTCTAAGACAACTGAGCGACTAAGCACAGCACATATTAAGTAGAGACTGCAAGGTTCCTCTAGAATTAGGATTTTGTGTTTTTATGTGAGATGAGAATGCCTTGTGGCATTTATCACTGCAGTAGGACCTCTTTACAATGCTCACGTTGGAAAGAGACCAGTATTACCATTGAGGCTAATTGTGTCTTGTCAGATTGTGGCAGCAGGTAGCACCCTATGGTGCTGTGGCATGCTCATCTTTGCTGTGATGAACTTTGTTTTGGCAGAGCGCCTATCCTGTATCTCCTTTGATTCTCATTTTATTCCCATTTTACTGATGCAGAAACCTAGGCAGTGAAAAGATACTGTATTCTCAGGCACATTCCCCCTCCCCCTCCTACATTTTAATGCTCTGAGATTGAGATCCATGTTACAGTCCACGAGAGTGTCTTTCACATTGAATGAGATTATGATAAACTGAAGAGCTGGTATTATGATCCAGGCTTTTCAACTTCCAAACCTTGATCCTTTTCCTTCATACCCCACTGCCTCCTGAGGCTAAGGCAGTAGCAGAATTATAATTAAATCATAGGAGCAGAAATTGATGTACAGGAATTACTCCTATTCCAACGCTGCCCCAGCATATTCTCTTGAGAAAAACATTTCCATAGCAATATTACTTTGTCTATATTATGTAATGGTAGTGCTATTTTAGAGTTGAGATTTTTCTGTAGATTTAATTTTTAAATAATTGTGATTTCTTTGATCAGTTAGTGAAAGAATTTAAGAGAATTCTAGTTTTCCTGTAATAATGAAAGAAAAGTTGTTTAGGCATTTCTTCCTTATGTTTGCTCACTTTTCACTCTTTCGTTTTATAAGATGAGAAAGCAGGTCATGATGGGAATAAAATAGTTTAAGATCAGACTGACTGCCTTAGAAGATAGAGGTTTTTGAGGAATCCAGGATTAGCATTGTTTCTTGTATCATATGTCAGTTGCTTCTTTGGTATATTGATTTGCTTGCATTTTAAGAAAAATGGGCTACAGTTTCCTTAATGGTGTGCTTCTGGTTTATAGATCGTTCTTATATGCGATTAACAGAAAAGGAAGATGAATCACTGCCAATAGATGTAAGTTGGTCATTTATATTCCATTAAAATATATATAACCAAATCACTTTGTTGTACACCTGAAACTAGCACAACATTGTAAATCAACTATACTTCAATAAAAATATACATATTTATATACAGTTTTAAAATTAGCCACATAGCTTAAAATGTATTTTTAAAAATTTATTTTTTATTCTCTTAATTTTCCAGACACGAAATAACATGTGTTATATACTTTTTGTCACTCATTATAAAGCCCAAAGATGTGGAAACAAAATATTTCTGTTTGGTTCCTAGAACTTAGTTTACTTATTTATTTTTGGCTGTGCTGCGCAGCCTGTGGGATCTTAGTTTCTCAACCATGGATGAAACCGGGCCCCTGGAATGGAATTGTGGAGTGCTAAACACTAGACCACGGGGGAAGTCCCTAGAACTTAGTTCAAATAGTCTTTCTAGAAGTTGCTCTGTCCATAGTCTGAGATGAACTTAACAAGTTGATTATTTGACTTTATCTTTTTTGGCTCGAGGCATGCAGAATCTTAGTTCCCTGACCAGGGATTGAACCTGTGTCCCCTGCAGTGGAAGCATGGAGTTTTAACCACTGGACCGCCAAGGAAGTCCCCCCCCTTTTTAAAAATCTTATTTTTTTTTAGAAAAGTTTCTTTTATACATCAAGTTTAAAAACAAGTAAAACTAACAAAACATTGTTTAGGGGCATACACAGAGGTGGTAAAGATTTTAAAAAAATAGGAAGTGCTTCTTTTTTTAAAGCTGCAATGATATGTGAACTTCACTCACAGTTTTTTATCTTTACTGGATTTTTTTGGGGGGGTCATGCCTTGTGGCTTGCGAGGATCTTAGTTCCCTGACCAGGGATCAAACCCATGCCTTTTTCAGTGGAAGTGCAAAGTCGTAACCACTGTACTGCCAGGGAATCCCTCCCCCCACTTTTTTTTAATCTTTCTTGGATTTTTAAAGTACAAAAGTAGTAAGTTCTTTGTAGAATCAAACAGTAAGTGTCAAAAGTAAAATTTACCCCATATATTTAAAAAAATACTGACCCCATTGCTCATAATTCTACTTCTGTTCCCAACAGTTTGGAGTGTATCAGTAGTTTAGTTTTCATCTATGTGTGTATATAGTTTTATGTAACCAAAACATAATTTTTCTTTTAAAAAGTTACTGTGTTTATATGTGTGTACTTTTATAACTAGCTTTTTTATTGATTTATCTTGACATATTTTCATGACAACTCAAGAGTTACCACATCCTTGTTAATGATGTCTATGATTGCATTGTATGAAATGGGCCTTGGTACACTGATGATGGGGATGTAAACCAGCATAACATATGACATTAGATTTTGATTTAGAGAATTAGAGTAATAGCTTGTGGCTAATTTTGACTTTAATTGTCTGTAATTCAAGATATGGTAAATGTGACTATTAACTCATTCTTCTGTTACCTTTGTTTTTGTGGTAGATGCATACACACATGCATACACATGTGCATGTGTATATGCACTCATTTATATCTGTTTAAAATAACTTTCTTCTGTATACAAATGGGAAAATTTGAAAAATACAGATAATTACTATCAGGAAAATAAAATATGTCTGTAATCCCACATTGGTTAATATCAAACACTGCAAATTTTTGCTTACATGCTTGCACAACCTCTTTGGAAAGCAGTTTGGTATTACCTAATAAAGTTGAATTTGTGTATACTCTCACACCAGTGATTGCATTCCCTTGTGTTAGGAGACATACACAAAGATATCCATCCTGACTTTGTAAAAGTTACAGACAGGAAATAGTCCACATAGCTATCAACAGTGGATGGATAAATTGTGGGAATTTCATGTAATGAAATTCAGTGAAAATGAATGATAATAACTACATACCACAATAGGGAGGAATCTCACCAAAAGAAAAAAAAGCTCAAATGGGAAAAAGTAAGCAATGTATGTTTTAGACGTACACATAGAGCTGGTAAAATAAGTAAAAGCAAGGAACTGATTAATATGTGATTGGGGCCAGTAGTTAACTGGCAGGGAGGGTGAGGGATATAATTGGAGAGGGATACCTGGGCCTTGTAAAGGACTGGTAATGTTCTCTTCTTTAAGTTGGGTAGTGGGTAAGGGGTGTTTTTTTTTTTTTAATACTCTGTGTTATTTAACACTAATACATTAAAACATTTATAGTTGCTCTTAGAAGTTGGTCATAGTTGATTACTGAGTTCTTGAATGGATCAGTACCTGTTTTGCTATTTGAGCAAAACCCAGATGTATTATTATTGCAGCTGATCCACAGAACTTATAGAAGATACTATTGTGTTTGAGTCCAAATCATTTAAAGTGAGAACTGACTCCTTGATAGCATCTGGGAGAAATACCTGATAGAGGCTAGAAACGGAGAGAAAATTGTAAATTTTCATAATATTTGTTTGTTGTTGAATAATCTTAATCTTTATACTCACAGATAGTTCTTCAGACACTTCTGGCCTTTGCAGTTACCTGTTATGGTATAGTTCATATTGCAGGGGAGTTTAAAGACATGGATGCCACTTCAGAACTAAAAAATAAGTAAGTCTTTTCCTTTTCATAGACATTTAATTTCATGGGGATTTTGCTTCATGTACATAGTTTAAAATTATGTTTTCTGGTACGTAAAAGTTGGTTTTGTTTTTACATTTTGATCATGCAGTTTGTATGAGTAATGAGCTAAAAAAATTGAGTCAGTGTTTGATTTGATGGGAAAAATGGAAGTTGAATGACAGACTGTTGACATTAGAATAAGATGTTATATTATGGTTGCTTAAAATTACTTGTTTGTTGGTTGGATAGGTGGATGAAAATAGATATATAAGGAATGTTTTCCTTCTTTCCTCCCCTTCTTCCCTCTCCTCTACCCCCCTCCCCTGCCACTCCTCACCACTTTGCTTCCCTTTCTCCTTTCTCTTTTCCTTCCCTTGCCCTCCCTCCCTCCCTTTTTCCGCTTTTTATCCTCTTGCCCCAGCTTAGTCTTTGGAAGATTAAGGGGTTTTCTGTTTCCTCTATCCCTTGAACCTAGTCTGTGACATAAACTCTGCTCTCAGGCCCTTTCCTATCCTTGGACTAAAGTATATTTGTTATTCTGCTTTGCTTTTTCCTCCTATACTGCTTCTAAGCTACTTTCATGAGCTTTGCTTGCTTTACTTTTCTGTATTGCTTGCTTTCATAGAATCATCCTTTAGCTTTGTTCAATTCAATCTCTGGACTTTACCCACCTTCTTGATCCTAGAAATTTTAACACAGTATTTCCTTAGAAGAATTCATAGTACATATTTATGTGTTACAGGAAATCCACTCCCTTTTTACTTTTACTTTTAAATTTACATTTCACATAGTCACATGTCAGGCTTCCCTTTTATGTGGGGGTATGCTTGGACTTTTAGGTGGGCTGACTTTGAGATTTGAGTTTTTATCAAAAGAATAGTTCTCTTTCCTTCCAGGAAATTAATATTTAAAAACAAATCAACACCAAAAGCTGTACACTTCGGTGTTTGTGAACTTTTTTTAGACTACATATATCTCACTGGAAAGAAGAAAAGGATACTCCACTATCACCACCCACTGCTCTTCTTACAAAGAGTCTACCAGGAATCACAGGCGAGGGGCCAAGAAAAAAGTAAAACAGAATGGCATTAAGTAGGTGGTAGCAAAATACATGAATTTAGTACATGGAAGCAAAATATACAGGTTTGGACAACAGCAGGTGCAGAAGGGCCAAAAGGAATGTTTTGTTGCACTTGATTCTTGGAAGACAGATCAAGTGAGAATAACCAAAGGTACAATCTATGTATTTTTTTTAAGGACTATTTGGCATGGGCTAGTGGTAGATTCACAGAGGTGATTAAAGTTGAGTGATTATTTGTTTTCATAGATATCCTGGAAGGAATGCCTGAATTAAAATTTTTCAAGGGTTTTATGTTGCTTTTCCGGGTTTCTTATTTTCCTTGTACAGGAAAAAAGTGAGATACAGTATGATTACCACTATAGTCTAATTTTATGGATTTAAACTTAGTTAAAAATACAACCCATAGCAAATTCATAATTTATTAGAAGCCTACTTATTTTCAAATAGGCTTTTATCAAGGTTTATCTAAAATTGATGCTTTTCTTTTTTTAAGGACATTTGACACACTAAGGAATCACCCATCATTTTATGTATTTAATCATCGTGGTCGAGTACTGTTCCGGCCTTCGGATACAACAAATTCTTCAAACCAAGATGCATTGTCCTCTAACACATCATTGAAGTTACGAAAACTTGAATCACTGCGTCGTTAAGATTTTTACAAATTATAATAACAGGACAGGACACAGAGCTGGAATATTGGAGTTTGGGGTACAAAACACTCCCCCATCAGTATTTATATTGATCGCTCAGACATAATTAAGAATGTCTACGACCCTTATTTGTACACTGTTAATCAAGTCATTAATGCAGTATAAGTTATCTGTGAAATGAGTCTTTGATCTTTCATAGAATTCTTTTTTCATTTAAAACAAATCCACATTTTTTGTAAAAGTCACTGTTTTGAGCACATTTCTTTGAAAAATGTTGATGGTTTTGTAATTATTTATTTTCTTAGATTTCTTTTGCACTACAGTTTTTAGGATCCTTTTGGAAATAGTGTGACTACTGCATTTTGCAGCATGAATGGTAGTAAATGGTCTTAAGTTCTTAACAACAAATGGACTTCTCTAAAGAGACCAAAATGGTGACTTACGAGTTTTTCTTATGCCCCCTAAAAAGTGGCTCTGCTTTAGCAGATACTTGCCAGTTTTTAATGTATCCACCGTGACTTCTCACCCTACCCCGCTCCCATATACCTCCTAACATCAGCTGTCTTGTTTCATCACTTCTCTGGGGTTCAGTGTGCAGTGAGCAATTTTTGTGTCAGAAATCCCCTGTCATAACAAATAGATTTAACAAACTCAACTTACGTAAAGCTACCTGTGTTCTCTTCATATATCTGTAAAAAGATGTCCCTAATTGATTATGTAGTGTAAGAATAGTTGAAGATAGACCAAAAAGACCATCCATGAATTAAACATCCTGCCTATGTAGAGGAACAGTGATCACTGAAGAAAACTGATTAGTTGTTACTAGCCAGTTTAACTTATTCAAAGCCTCTGTTATTTTATTGCATACTAAACTAGTGAATTAGTAAGGATAAAGGTAGATTTCAATGGAATTGGGCCAAATAGGTTCTAAATATTTGGAACTAATATCTTTTAATTTAAAAATTAAGGTCATAGCTTCCATTTTGTAGCAGACTTAGAGTTTTCTGTCTTCACTGTATGTCGCTGAAGGTAAGGATGAGGGTACTTCTAAATATTTGGAACTAATATCTTTTAATTTAAAAATTAAAGTCATAGCTTCCATTTTGTAGCAGACTTAGAGTTTTCTGTCTTCATTGTATGTTGCTGAAGGTAAGGATGAGGGTACAGACTAGAATTTTTTTAGAGATAGCAATCTTAGGGAAATTTGGCTAGCTCTTTGATCTGCTGGAAGCTTAACATTTCTTGGTAGAGAAGGTTGCTTTGGTTGAATTGTATAGGTGTAAAGGGAATTTAAATTTAAAAAAGAAATGTGCTTTAGGCAAGAATCATAAGATGCCCTTATCCTTGATGGCTTTTTTTCTGCTAGTAGTGAACCTCAGCTCTTCTGCCTGGTAACACACAGCCCAAAGTACAAGATTATTTTGTCATTGGGTTTTTAATCATTGTTTAGTTTTGTTTTGCTAACCCAATCTGTCTGTGGAACACTGACTCTGCTCTCTAAGGAGAACAAAGTTAGAAATCTAAAATAATTTAGAGATGAGTTTAAAATGTGAAGTCGGGAGTTAAAGTGGTCGTATAAATCAAAGTCGTGTACGAGAAACAAGCTCTTTCCATCATGCCTGTCTACCGTTTCCTCAGGTATGGATTGATTTGCAAGAGCCTCTTGTTTTCTTCTCTTTTGAGGCCTGTCTTCCTTTCCTAGTATGTTTTTATAATAAATTTATTAAGATATAAATCACATACCTTACTATTCACCTATCTAAAGGGTACAATTCAGTGGTTTTATAATATATTCACAAAGTCATGCAACCATGATCACAGTCAATTTGAGAATGTTGCTGTCACCCCAGAAAGAAACCCTGTATCCTTTAGTAGTTACCTGTCTTTTCCTCCCAATATCTCCCAACCCTGAGCAACTAATCTCTGTCTGTATAGGTTTGTCTCTTCTGGTCATTTAATATGATTGGATTCCCATAGTATCTGATCTTTCGTGGCTGGCTTCCCAAATATTGTTCAGTTCTATGTAGAGTGAGAACTTCTCATGTTAAAAACTATGAATTCTCTGTAAGGAGATGGTTGGTACGAATCAGTGGATGTAAGGAGGGAAGTCAGATTCCTAACATGTTTCTCAGTCAATCGGATGCTGAATAGGTTTTTTTCTCAGAACCAAGCATTCATGATATGTTAATATAATTGTTTGTCTAGTCTCTAGAATGGAATTGAAATCTTTGCCTCCTCAGGAAAGTCTTGCTAAAAATGAGGCCAAATAATATGGCAAGTAATTGACATAGCAGACTTCAGTCATGTCTAATTTTGCTAGGAGCTTGTATACCTCTGGTCAGGTGAGCTTCCCAAATTTTTAATTTCCTCCAGTGAATTTATGCTATCTTTTAAAAGTATGTACTGTAGGATTGGGGTGATTTGGATGCATCATAACAGTGCTAAATGGATTAAGTTCAGAAGTTTTTTGTAATGCTTTGAGGCAGTACTAAGGTAGCCAAAAATGTAGTGATGTGAGCAAATTAAGCTTGCAGCTGACTATGATTTCAGTGACATTCAGAAGTGTGTACTGTTGAAGGCTCTCTAGAATATAGGAAGGCTCACTTAATCAGGGAAGCAGCTGAATGCTATGGCCTAGTGGCCCAGCTGCAGAAAATGCAGGTCGGCAAATTGGAGGCTGTGAAGCTCTGTAACTCCCTAATGATTGTTTCCTAAGCATTGTGGCTTATTTTTGAGTGGCATGACAGCATCCCCCGGTTGTATGTGGCCTGTTTCCATGATGTATTGAGTACTGTTGTTTGTTGTGAGCATCAATGCCTGTAACACCAAGCTAAACACATTCTTTTGGATATGTTTCCTCTCTTTAAATGATCTTGCCCTGTCCAATAAATAAATGATTGTCTCACCCTGTTTTTGGTAGTGGTTTTTTTTTTTGTTTTGTTTGTTTGTTTGTATGTTTTACTTTTAATCTCATTTTCTTCTGCTTCTCTGTCCCCAGAAAAATGTAAGATTTAATTTTAACAACTGTATTTTTTCCAGTGTGATGCTTTTACTAAATTCAATGGATACTTTACTTTTCATTATACATGTAAAGTCTTACTGCAATTTTATGCTCTTTTAAAGTTGAAATAGAATATGTAATCTCATTTATATTTGTATTGATGAATTATCAAATACCCTTTGGAGTACAAGAATATTGGTCTGCAAGTAGCAGTGTCTAATCATTCCAGCACAAATTTGTTATATAGCCAAACTGCTATTACAGAAATGGCAGTTTCTTATACTTAACAGGAAATCATCATGATTAAAGCATCATCATGATTAAAGCATCAAGGGGCAAATCTAAAGTTTAATCCAAGAGGAAGTTCTGATTCTAAAAGCATGGCACTTATCTGCATTAGTTTGAAAGATAGCACTACTAGTATTCAGATCTACATAGGAATATCTAAAAATAACCTACTAATCAAGTGTTCTTTTAAAAGGAAAAAAGAAAGAATATATGCACATGGCAAAAAAATCAGATGGTACAGAAAGGTATGAGATTTAAAACTTGCTCCCTTTCCTCCTGCTCCTAATAACCTCTCTCCAAAGGTAACCAGCTTTAAGTGTCTTGCATATTCTTTCAGGAAAAAAATAATTTGCCAGCGAGTATATACATAAAAAGTTTTTCCATTAATGGAATCAGACTGTATATACTCTCTGTACCTTGCTTTTTTTGCTGTGTCTTATAAGATCTTTCTGTATCAGTATATATAGAAATACCTCATTCTTGTTAATGACTGTGTGGTATTCTACTATATATTGTGTTATAAATGTTAAAACATATAGACTTCCAGGTTGTTGGCAGTATTTTACTGTTGATAAACTATATTGTGATGAATTTACTTGTACATATAATGAGCTTAACCTAACAAGGTTAATTCCTAGCAATAGAATTGCTGGGTCAAAGGATAGTTTTCATTTTCAGGTCAGTAGGTATTGCCAAACTGATCTCCAGAAATCTGCCCAATTCTACTTCCACATATAATGTATAAGAATAATTATTTATGAGGTCCTTACCAATATTGGGCACTCAACTTTTTAAAATTTGATCATCTGAAAGTGAATAAATGGTACTTTGCCTCTTAATGAAGTTCTAATGCATTTTAATGAAGGAGATGGAACACATTTTCATGTTTATTGGTTACTTATATTTCATTTTCTGTGAACTGTGTGGTCATGTTCTGTTTTTGATTCGATTTGTTTTTATTAGTTTGTATGAGCTCTTTGTATGCTAAGAAAATTGGTCTATTGTCTTATGTTTAACAATATTTTCCTGAGTTTTATTTATTTATGTAGTTAAACTTAACAGTCTTTATGGCTTCTGGGATTTGTGCCTTGCTTTAGAAAGGCCTTCTTTACATTTAAGAATAAATTTAATGTATTTTTTCAGTACTTTTTAAGTTTTTTTTAACTTTTAAATCTTTGATTCATTTGGAATTTAGGTGGAAAGAGTGAACTAAGGATTCAACATTTTTCTCTTCCAAATAGCTATCTGGTTATCCCAACCCTATTTATTGACTTTTTCCACATTGATTTGAAAAACCATCCCTTGTATATTGTTTCCATATATATTTAGGTTTATTTCTGAACTCTGCAGTCTTTTCCAAAACTTACTAGTCTTTTAATTACTTTAAGTTGTTATACATTTTCATATTAAGCTTTGTTAATATATACCACATTATTATTAATTTCAGGATATTTCCCTAGTTATTCTTGCATGTTTATACTTCTAGACAAACTTTAGTATCATTTTATTCAGTTCTAAAATCCTATTGCAAAAAAAATAAAAATCCTATTGCTATTTTTCCTAAAATTGTAGGAATTTAACATAAAATATGAAAGAATAGTTTGATGAGTGCCAAGATCCTTTTCATTTAGATTCACCATTTCTAACGTTTTGTTACTTTTGCTTTTGTTCTTTCCAAGTGTGCTTTTTTCAAAGCCCTCCTGAATTGTTT